AACATCCTAGGCTACAACATCCCCAACTGTCCTTCACAATACCAGCAACATCCTAGGCTACAACATCCCCAACTGTCCTTCACAATACCAGCAACATCCTAGGCTACAACATCCCAACTGTCCTTCACAATACCAGCAACATCCTAGGCTACAACATCCCAACTGTCCTTCACAATACCAGCAACATCCTAGGCTACAACATCCCCAACTGTCCTTCACAATACCAGCAACATCCTAGGCTACAACATCCCCAACTGTCCTTCACAATACCAGCAACATCCTAGGCTACAACATCCTCAACTGTCCTTCACAATACCAGCAACATCCTAGGCTACAACATCTCCAACTGTCCTTCACAATACCAGCAACATCCTAGGCTACAACATCCCCAACTGTCCTTCACAATACCAGCAACATCCTAGGCTACAACATCCTCAACTGTCCTTCACAATACCAGCAACATCCTAGGCTACAACATCCCCAACTGTCCTTCACAATACCAGCAACATCCTAGGCTACAACATCCCCAACTGTCCTTCACAATACCAGCAACATCCTAGGCTACAACATCCCCAACTGTCCTTCACAATACCAGCAACATCCTAGGCTACAACATCCCCAACTGTCCTTCACAATACCAGCAACATCCTAGGCTACAACATCCCCAACTGTCCTTCACAATACCAGCAACATCCTAGGCTACAACATCCCCAACTGTCCTTCACAATACCAGCAACATCCTAGGCTACAACATCCCCAACTGTCCTTCACAATACCAGCAACATCCTAGGCTACAACATCCCCAACTGTCCTTCACAATACCAGCAACATCCTAGGCTACAACATCCCAACTGTCCTTCACAATACCAGCAACATCCTAGGCTACAACATCCCAACTGTCCTTCACAATACCAGCAACATCCTAGGCTACAACATCCTCAACTGTCCTTCACAATACCAGCAACATCCTAGGCTACAACATCCCAACTGTCCTTCACAATACCAGCAACATCCTAGGCTACAACATCCCCAACTGTCCTTCACAATACCAGCAACATCCTAGGCTACAACATCCCAACTGTCCTTCACAATACCAGCAACATCCTAGGCTACAACATCCCCAACTGTCCTTCACAATACCAGCAACATCCTAGGCTACAACATCCCCAACTGTCCTTCACAATACCAGCAACATCCTAGGCTACAACATCCCCAACTGTCCTTCACAATACCAGCAACATCCTAGGCTACAACATCCTCAACTGTCCTTCACAATACCAGCAACATCCTAGGCTACAACATCTCCAACTGTCCTTCACAATACCAGCAACATCCTAGGCTACAACATCCCCAACTGTCCTTCACAATACCAGCAACATCCTAGGCTATCGTTTATAGTACAAACACTGCACTTCTCATTTCCAAGAGCTAGAGTCCAACTAAAAGGTTTTCCTGACTATTCGTAACGTTTACTCTGGTGACAGCAGGTGAAATCCAAGAAGCCACTCGTCTTCACTCCGGCACACTCACAGGATGCTCAAGACACTACCATTTAAAACCACCGTCACACCCTCCTTCGCATCCTTCCTGGAAAATTCCTCCTACCCTCCTTCAGAGGACGATTTTTTTTTTTTTTGCACCTTGCTCAACTTATCTCGCTCATGACAGCGCTGTATGGCCCTTGTGGGTTTAGCGTTTAGTTTCAATTGCAATAATAATATAATAATAATAATAATAATAATAATAATAATAATAATAATAATAATAATAATAATAATTCTCATAAGACGTCAGAAAGAAACACATCCTTCAGGTGTCTCATTCTCAAGAGAATCAATGACGTAACAAATTATTATTATTATTATTATTATTATTGTTATTATTATTATTATTATTATTATTATTATATTATTATTATTATTATTATTATTTTTATTATCAAAATTTTTATTATTATATTAGATTATTCAGAATTACTACTACTACTACTACTACTACTACTACTACTACTACTACTACTACTAGTAGTAGTAGTAGCAGTAGTAGTGGTGGCATTCTTACATGCACGTTAAGACGTTAAACCCACTGGGGTTATAAATGATGGACCTGACTTGGTTATACACATGAATCGAGTGACTCAACACAGCCTCGTCACCAATATATTCATTACAAATACATCCAGATAATACAGTATTGTATTGAAGCGTCAATCAGTACATGTTTTTTATCTTCTAAACGTGATTATATTAATATTTGGCTGAGCTATCAGCTTGCTTCTCAGTCATGTCATGGGTTTTAACACGTCAGGAAGAATATTCGATAAAACTCTCGTAACTCGTAAACAAAGCCTTGAATCTTGGTCGAATTTATTGCCAAACTTTTATTTAAAATTATTATTATTATTATTTTTATTATTATTATTATTATTATTATTATTATTATTATTATTATTATTATTATACTTATTATTGTTTTTATTATTACTGCTGTTATTATCATTACTATTATCATAATTTTTATTATTATTGGTATTATTGTTATTATTATTATTATTTTTCTTTTATTATTACTGTTGCTATTGTTATTATTAGTAGTAATATCACTTTAATTATTATTGTTATTCATGGGGAAGCGCTACTTCCACAGGCGCCATGCAGCATCTGGGGTGAGTCAATCAGGTTCGATCCCACGAAAGGGTGAGTAGTTGCCATTCCTTGGGTCAAGATCCTTATCCTACGTAATGGATAAAGGGGTTTAAAGCCTTTCAACTACACGATTGTCATGAAGGCAACGCATAACCTTCCAGTCACAATACAAGAATACTTAAACATACACCACTCTGTGTATCCTGTCGAGTATACATTGCCCGACAGGATACATACACCGGATGTATATTTTCCAGAGAATTTCTAATCAGGAAGTTTTTTTGTATCGAGATTTTTCAATAAAACATCTAGTTTAAGTTTTAAGGGAGGAATTTAAAGTTTGCTTCAGAGCGTAATACCAAAAATAATCTGGGGGATTAACCCCAAAATTTTTATCGTCAATAAAATTAATAGAATTTTATGGGTTTTATTAATGAGAAGAATTGGATGTGAGGACCTACCTAGCATGGGCCAGTAGGCCTTCTGTGGTGCTCCTCCATTCCCGTGTTTTACACAGGAATGGAGAATGAAACTTTTGACGACGTTTCGGTCGACTTGGATCAAGTGGTGTGACGAGTTAAGGGTCCACATCGGATCGAAACGCCGTCGTAAGTTCGGACCGAAACGTCGTCGTAAGTTCGGACCGAAACGTCATCGTAAGTTCGGACCGAAACATAATCGTAACTTCGGACCAAAACATCGTCGTAACTTCGGATCGAAACGTCATCGTAAGTTCGGACCGAAACGTCATCGTAACTTCGGATCGAAACGTCGTCGTAAGTTCGGACCGAAACGTCATCGTAAATTCTGACCGAAACGTCGTCGTAACTTCCTCTCTCCTTTGTGCGGGTTGTGTGTGCTTTGTTCCAGTCGCGGTATTGTATCTTTCTATTCTATCGTGTTTTTATAAACCCGAGAAATTCGTAATAAACAATGAATAAACAGAAGAATAGAAGGAAACTGCAGTTCGATTCCCCGTCCAGTCTTCTGTTTTTGTTCATATGGTCACTAGTGGTGAACCTCGTACCGCACACCAGGAGCGTTGAACCAGTTCATCAGTGTTCACTGTGCTACAAGCGTTTAATGTTGTGGTTCATCTGTGCTGAACATCTCTCTCTCTCTCTCAACCCATCAGGCATTAAGATCAATCGCTATTCTCGGGAAAAAAATGGTGTTCAGTGTGTGTTAAAGCTTGACTATGGATGTTCACCTGCGTTGAACCTTCCCTCCCTCCCACGACCCACTCACACCAACTCAGATACTCCAACCATCGCCAAAGTTCTAGCAAGGCTACTCAAGGCTGGAACTGGTTACATGTGGAGTTCCGCACCTGTGGGCGGGGTCCAGGAGCTGTACCTCATGACCATATCATTACATTAACGCCATACGATACCAAAGATGTTGACGACTTAGACGCATGTGCAGCATTTAGGTATCTTGAAGAAGGCAATGATTGGAGACGCGTCTGCAACATTCCCAGATGTTGGACTCCTGTCTCTCATGACCATACACACATACTTGCATACACATACATGTACAAGATACATACATACACGTATACATTTCTATACGAATAGGACGGCGACTGAAACAGAGATAAATAGATCAACAATAATTTATTTATGATATTTACATTGACAATAATAATAATAATAATAATAATAATAATAATAATATAATAATAATAATAATAATAATAAAAAATTAATACGAATTGGAAATTTACAACATCGTACTTTTATAACAAACATAAAGTGTGTATTATATATATATATATATATATATATATATATATATATATATATATATATATATATATATATATATATAATATATATATATATATATATATATATATATATATATATATATATATATATATATATATGCAATAAGATCACAGTAAACAGGTGATTTCAGAATATGCAAAACCTTGATAATGTGAGTAGTCATGAAAGCGCTTGGAATTTCTCTATTCTTTCAGAGTGGTTGCTTTGCATATATATATATATATATATATAATATATATATATATATATATATAATATATATATATAATATATATATATATATATAATATATATATATATATATATATATAATATATATATATATATAATATATATATATATATTGGGGAAATATATAAATGTATATAATCAAATACTGGTGACTTAGAGGAAAACTGTCTTTGTATAATTCTGTGATCCTGCTGAACAGTAAAAAATCATTGAGCAAGAAGGATCTATTGTAATTATGAATTATCATCTCTCTCTCTCTCTCTCTCCTCTCTCTCTCTCTCTCTCTCTCTCTCTCTCTCTCTCTCTCTCTCTTTCTCTTTCATCAACAGCCTGATTGATCAGAGGATTCTGCTCCACAAGAGAGTACCTGAAAGTAGTCTGGAAAACTGCCTATGATAGTTCTCTATACACTGAGAGATGTGTATGTCTCTCATTGTATATACACTGAGAGACATGTGTCTCAGGTGTGTATGTATGCTGAGAGTTTGCTTTGCTTCGTAATTTAAAGATGATTGTATTCTTTTCTGATAGCATCCAGTCTGATCAAAGATCAGTGCCAACGACCTCAAGTAGTCGAAGAGAAAGATGGCTAATCAGGGGCCAGGCTGAGATCAGAGAACGGAGGATCGAGCCTCCGCCACTAGCTGCGCTGGATGATCAATACAATACACAAACACACACACACACACACACACACACACACACACACACACACACACACACACACACACACACACACACACACACACTGTGAATGCTACTGCGTGTTAAAAGGCATTATCAAGCAGTTAGCTATCAACCTCACCGTATGGGTGTCTGAGTCGGTGCTTTACAAGGAGTCAAATGAGTTTCTGTGGCCCTCAAGCTATTAAAATATAGCTATCATGACACGGATTTTCTCTTCATTGCAATGTTCTAAGCACAGTCAAGGAAGAGCCATCAACACTCGTTGAAACCTTTCTTCGCTGAACGATGAACAAAGCTTTTTTTGTTTACAGCAGTTTGTCTAGCAGGACTAACAGGACCAAGAAGCACTCATTCCTAAAATACCCTGTCGACCATGACACGAAGCTTCTGGTCACGGCGATTTGTCTGGCAGGGTCTAGAAATACTCGTTCCTACAATACCCCTGTCAGTTATTACACTTAGTTTCTGTTCACGGCAGCTTAAGTCAATGAACACGGGAACAATCACCCGAGGTAATTCTTTTCCATTCGTCGGAGATTGATCTGGAGTATCCGGAGTCCCGATGGGTAATGTGCTCACCCTGTTGTCACCTAGACTCTCTTATTACCTGGAGATCGATCTGAAGGAGTATCTGGCGGTTGTGCAGCGCAATTCTAAGGTTGACCAGATGTGTGTGTGTGTGGAGTTTGTCTTGTAGATCAGTCATAAGGAACGTAAGCATAGCTCATTCGTTTCTCCTGGCTAGGTCAAGCGGTAAGACGTTCCAATTATGCTCAATACCCACAAACACACACACACACGTACACGGTTAAGTACAAAACTTTATTATTTTTTTCACGCACTCTTGCAATATGCTTATCTCTATCTTGAACTTGGACTGAACAGAGAAATACTTCGATTAAGATATCCCGGAGTATGAGATGAATTTAATGAATTACAATCAGATACTCAGAGGATTACAGCGCCTGTCTATTTATGTAGAAAGTGACGTGCGAGATTCATAATGTGGGGAATAGGGTGGTTGGGGACATGGCCTCAGTGTTGGGGAGGAGAGGAGACACTAAGAGCAAGGCTTCAGGGTACAATAGCCACACCACACCACTAACAATCCCCAATAAACTGGTCTGCATCCCCCACACACTGCTTCACATCCCCAACAAATGGGTTCACACCCCCACACGGGTTCACACACTCCTACACACAGGTTCACACATGATTAAAAACACGTCAACAACATCACTAGTTACCAGGGTCTCTCACAGTGTTTATACTGTGATCACTATCCAGGGCTGCTGCAGGGCTCCCTTACCAGGAGTATGTAAGGGCTTTCTATCCAGTACTCAAGGGTTCTCTATCTTGTACTCCATGACTACCTATTCAATACTCCTGGGATTCCTTTCCAGTAGTCAAGAGCTCTTTCTCCAGTACTCCAGGGCTCCCTATCCAACAGTACATCCAGGAGTGCTCCAGGGCTCCTTATCCAGGAGTACTCCAGGGCTAGCTCTATCCAGCACCCCAGTACTCCCTATCCAGGAGTACTCGAGGGCTCCCTATTTAGAGCTGTTCTGGGGATCCCTGAAGGATGGTGTGGGTTGGAAGTAGCACCGAACCAGGGGCTTTACGTCACACCCGTAGGGACCACATCCAGGGGAAGGGGCGGTGGGCGTGCGAGAACGGGCGTGGGCTTGATGGGTCGTGGGGCCAGTGGTTGCGGCAGCGGCAGTGGCGGCGGCGGCAAGTAGGTGAGTGTATGCAGGAAGGGCGGGGTGGTTCCCCACGCCGCAGGGTAGATAATGGGCGGAGGGTAGATGATCGGGGGCGGCAGGCGGGCGAGACAGGGTGGCGGGAGGAGGTGTAGGGGCGGCTGAACCGGCTGTAACCTAGGCTGGAGTGCGAGGTGGTCCTCCACGGAGGGCTGGTGGGAGGTTATACTCGCCAGGCCGGCCTCCATAGCATCCTTCTCATCCCTGGGTATCTTGAACCTCTTCCTGCGGCGCAAGAAGCTACCGTTCTCAAACATGTTCATGGCGGACGGGTGTAGGGTCCAGTAGGCGCCCTTGCCGGGTCTATCAGGGCGACGAGGGATCTTGATAAAGCAGTCGTTGAAGGAGAGGTTGTGACGCAGAGAGTTCTGCCAGCGTTGAGTGTTCTTGCGGTAGTAGGGGAAGTTGTCCATAATAAACTTGTAGATCTCCGCCAGTGTACACATCTTCTCCGGGCTGTTCCAGATGGCCATGGCGGTGAGGGAGATGTACGAGTACGGCGGCTTCTGATCACCGTAACTCTCCCTGGTGGGGCGTGGCATGGTGGGCACCCCGGGGGAGCGGTGCCCCCTGACCCCTTTGAAAGGCCTAAACCCGCCCACTTGTTTGCCGCGGGCGTGGGCGTGTGCTAATACCTTTGTAGCGTCGGGCGCACTGAGTGTTGTTGATGTTGCAGATGACCGGCTGCGCGGGTCACGTGACCGGGAGGTAGTTGCTGAGTGGTTGCCGCGCGGGTCACGTGACCGGGTGTAGGCTGTTGATTGGGTGGCGTCGGAGTCACGTGACCGGGAGGGAGTCGTTGAATGGCTGGCGTGGCAGGAGGGGCGGGGCGTAGCTGCTATCTGCATGATGCCCGCCCCTGCATGGCGGGGAGGGAGTGTGGGCGTGGGCGTGGGCGTGACGGGGGCGGGGGCGGCTCCTCGGGCAACGGGGCGGCCACAAGTGGCGGACATTTGCATAGTAATGAGCTGCTCTGAGCCAACCCCTGCCATGAGGCTTCCCTCCACCCCTCCCGCCTCACCCCCCACCCCTCCCACCCCACCATCCAACAACCACCTACCACCCCTCCCACATCACCGACAACCCCTCCCACTTCACCCTTAACCCCTCCTACCTAACCCTCCATCCATCCAACCTCACCCTCCAGCCCTCCCACTTCACCCATTACCACTTCCTCATCACCCTCCAATCCACCCCTCACCCTCTACCCCTCCCACATAACCCTCCACCCCTCCCATCTCACCCTCTAACCCTCCCACCTCACCCTCCACCCTCTTATTAACCCCTCCTACCCTCCCTCCACCCCTCCTACCATCCCTCCGCCCCTCCAACCCTCCCTCCACCCCTCCTACCTTCCCTCAACCTCTCCTACCATCCCTCCACCCCTCCTACCCTCCCTCCACTCCTCCTACCCTCCCTCCACCCCTCCTACCCTCCCTCCACCCCTCCTACCATCCCTCCACCCCTCCTACCATCCCTCCACCCCTCCTACCCTCTCCACCCCACCTACCTTCCCTCCACCCCTCCTACCATCCCTCCACCCCACCTACCTTCCCTCCACCGCTCCTACCATCCCTCCATCCCTCCTACCCTCCCTCCACTCCTCCTACCCTCCCTCCACCCCTCCTACCCTCCCTCCACCCCTCCTACCATCCCTCCACCCCTCCTACCCTCTCCACCCCACCTACCTTCCCTCCACCCCTCCTACCATCCCTCCACCCCACCTACATTCCCTCCACCCCTCCTACCATCCCTCCACCCCACCTACCTCCCTCCACCCCTCCTACCATCCCTCCACCCCACCTACCTTCCCTCCACCCCTCCTACCCTCCCTCCACCCCTCCTACCCTCCCTCCACCCCTCCTATCCTCATTCCATCCCACCTACAATCCCTCCACCCCTCCTACCCTCCCTCCACCCCCTCCTACCCTCCCTCCACCCCTCCTACCCTAACTCCACCCCACCTACCCTCCCTCCACCCCTCCTATCCTCGCTCCGCCCCACCTACCCTCCCTCCACCCCTCCTACCCTCCCTCCACCCCCACCTACCCTCCCTCCCTCCACCCCTCCTATCCTCACTCCACCCCACCTACAATCCCTCCCTCCACCCCACCTACCCTCCCTCCCTCCACCCCTTCTATCCTCACTCCACCCCACCTACAATCCCTCCACCCCTCCTACTCCCTCACTCCTCCTATCCCTACTCCACCACCGTCTTATCCTCCCTCCACCCCTTCTATCCTCACTCCACCCCTCCTACCCTCCCTCCACCCCACCTACCTTCCCTCCACCCCTCCTATCCTCCCACCACCCCTCCTATCCTCACCTCTACCCCTTCTACCATCCCTCCACCTTCTACCCTCCCTCCAACCCTCCTACCCTCACTCTCCACCCTCCTACCCTCTCTCCACCTCCTCCACCTCTACCCTTCCACCCTCCTACCTACTCCACCTCACCCTCCCCACCCTCACCCTCCCTCCACGTCTTTTACTCCCTCCAGCTCCGCTCCAATAGGACTGTATTGCTCTTAATTGCATGATCCTCCACACTGTTGGTACATACATTCTGCAGCCCACTCTAGTAGCTCTCATACCAGTATCTCCCACCAGTATCTCTCACACAGTATTTCTCACACCAGTATCTCTCACAGTAGTATCTCCCACAGTAGTATCTCTCACAGTAGTATCTCTCACATCAGTTTCTCTCAGAGCATTATCTCTCACAGCAGTATCTCTCACGGTAGTATCTCTCACCCCAGTATCTCTCACACCAGTATCTTTCACAGTAGTATCTCTCACACCAGTATTTCCCCACAGTAGTATCTCTCAGACATATTCCCCCCAGTATCTCTCACAATAGTATTCTCACATCAATATCTCTCAGATATTATCTCTCACAGTAGTTTTCACATAGTATCTCTCAAACCAGTATCTCTCACAATAGTATCTCTCACCTCAAGTATCTCTCAAGCAGTTTCTCTCATAGCAGTATCTCTCACAGCAGTACTCTCACAGTAGTATCTCTCACAGCAGATCTCTCACACCAGTATCTCTCACATAGTATCTCTCATATCTAAACCAGTATCTCTCACAGTAGTATCTCTCAACAATATCTCTACAGTATCTCTCACACTAGTATTCTCTCACAGCAATATCTCTCACAGCAGTATCTCTCACAGTAGTTTTACCATACTAAGCATATCTCTCAAACCAGTATCTCTCACAGCAGTATATCTCACAGTAGTATCTCTCACACAGTATCTCTCATAGCAGTTTCTCTCACCGCAGTATCTCCCACCAATATCTCTCACACTAGTATCTCTCACAGCAGTATCTCTCACAGCAGTATCTCTCACAGCAGTATCTCTCACAGCAGTATCTCTCACAGCAGTATCTCTCACAGCAGTATCTCTCACAGCAGTATCTCTCATAGCAGTTTCTCTCACCGCAGTATCTCCCACCAATATCTCTCACACTAGTATCTCTCACAGCAGTATCTCTCACAGCAGTATCTCTCACAGCAGTATCTCTCACAGCAGTGTCTTTCACACTAGTATCTTTCACACCAGTATCTCTCACATTAGTATCTCTCACACCAGTATCTCTCACATTAGTATCTCTCCAACCAGTATCTCTCACACTAGTATCTCTCACACCAGTATCTCTCACATCAGTATCTCTCACACTAGTATCTATTACACCAGTATCTATCATAATAGTATCTCTTAGAGCAGTATCTTTCCCTCCAGTATCTCTCTCAGCAGTATCTCTCACAGTATATTTCACAGCAATATACCACTCCAGTATCTCTCACTCTCGTATCCGTCACTCCAGAATCTGTCACTCCAATATCTCTCACTTCTGTATCTCTCCAGTATCTCTCCGGTCTTTAATATATCTCAATCCATTATCTGTCATTTATATGTGACACCATTATCTCTTACTCCATTATCATTCCGGTATCTCTCACTCTAGTATCTCCTCCCAGTGTCTACTAGTGTATTTCTTTCTAGCATCTCTCACTGCAGTATTTCTCACTACAGTATCGCTCACTCTTTTATATCTCATTACATATCACACCATTATCTTACACATAATCTCTCACTCCATTACCTCTCCACTGTCTCTCACCCCAGTATCTATAATTTATTTGTCTCGTATTCCAATATCTCTCACTCTTGTATATCAGATATCTCTCACTATAGTATCTCACACCAATATCTTTCACTACAGTATTTCACTACAATATCTCTAACTACAGTATCTCGCACCACTACCTCTGACTACAAAATCTCTCACTACAGTATCTCCCTACAATATATCTCATTACAATATTTCTCACTACAATATCTCCTTCAGTATCTCTCACTACAGTATCTCACTACAATATTTTTCACTTCAGTATCTCACTACAATATCTCTCACTTCAGTACCTCACTACAATATCTCTCACTTCAGCATCTCACTACAATATTCTCACTTCAGCATCTCACTACAATATTTCTCACTACAATATCTCTCATCTGATCAACAATACTCTCTAGCATTCATCAATATCTCTCACTGTAGCATATCACTACAATATCTCTCACTACAATATCTCTCACTTCAGCATCTCACTACAATATCTCTCACTGTAGCATCTCACTACAATATCTCTCACTGTAGCATATCACTACAATATCTCTCACTACAATATCTCTCACTTCAGCATCTCACTACAATATCTCTCACTACAATATCTCTCACTTCAGCATCTCACTACAATATCTCTCACTTCAGCATCTCACTACAATATTTCTCACTACAATATCTCTCACTACAATATCTCTCACTTCAGCATCTCACTACAATATCTCTCACTACAATATCTCTCACTTCAGCATCTCACTACAATATCTCTCACTTCAGCATCTCACTACAATATCTCTCACTGCAGCATCTCACTACAATATCTCTCACTTCAGCATCTCACTACAATATCTCTCACTACAATATCTCTCACTTCAGCATCTCACTACAATATCCCTCACTTCTGTACCTCACTACAATATCTCTCACTGCAGCATCTCACTACAATATCTCTCACTGACTCACCTACAATATCTCTCACTGCAGCATCTCACTACAATATCTCTCACTTCAGCATCTCACTACAATTTCACTACCTCTCACTACAATATCTCTCACTTCAGCATCTCACTACAATATCCTCTCAGCACTCACTACAATATCTCTCACTTCAGCATCTCACTACAATATCTCTCACTACAAATCTCTCTACAATATCCTCACTACATCTCTCACTACAATATCTCTCACTTCAGTATCTCACTACAATATCTCTCACTTCAGTATCTCACTACAATATCTCTCACTTCAGCATCTCACTACAATATCCCTCACTTCTGTACCTCACTACAATATCTCTCACTTCAGCATCTCACTACAATATCTCTCACTGCAGCATCTCACTACAATATCTCTCACTACAATATCTCTCACTTCAGCATCTCACTACAATATCTCTCACTTCAGCATCTCACTACAATATCTCTCACTACAATATCTCTCACTTCAGCATCTCACTACAATATCTCTCACTACAATATCTCTCACTTCAGCATCTCACTACAATATCTCTC